AATTTTTGTCCTGTTGTTGAGCGGTTGAGACATATAGATACATCAAAAAGCATTAGAACTAATAACTGGTAAGTAAATGCATGAAAGCACCAAAAGTGATGCACTTAATTATTGATAATAATCTCAAAGAGGTAAAACTGTAATTTCATGTGGTAATTTAAACCAATTCAAGCAATGGTTTACCCATTAGAATCTGGAAGAAAGCTTAGCTTGAACCACTTCAATTTGGACTATGGTCTAGTTGCGCAATCCAATCACAAGCAAACTTTAAGTTTCTAATGCCCTTGATCATGAAATTCTCTCTCTTTGGTCTTTTAGCTCTCAGCACCTCTTTCTTTGCCTCTGCTTATAAAAGCGGCCAAAGATTTCTAATGCTCTGCTGGGACATTAACCATCATGACCGATAGTAAAGATGAAGGCCGTAACAAAGAAGATAAGGAAGAAAAGTAAAATGATAATAAAGAGAATAAGAAAACAGATGAAAAGATGTAGAAGCAAATGACGTGTTTCACTTAGACTGATACGAAACAGGCAGTACGTACTGGTTCAGATATCAACTGGTATGTGGTATGCAGATCGCCCCTGTTTAGGGCGATTCAGTTCATCCATATATAAGGAAACTAACCTAATTGTTTCTCACGCACAGCGCAACCTTTGCTTCTCAATGTGACCTCCACTTCTCAGGCACACCATGGCCTCACTGCACACCACCACCAAACACCACCTTTGGCCTAATTGCTTCTCATAGGAATGCCCATTTTCCTCTTCCTCTTCCTCCTCTTCACCATCTCCTCTTCTTCTTTCCTCCTACCTCCTTCCTCCTCCCTCCTCTTCCTCTACCACCCCTTCTTCTTCTCCTTTTTCTTCTTCTCCAGAACACCGATACACACAGTACACCAGTACTGATTGATATGTACTAGTCTGAGCAGATTACCAAAATGGGTCCAGTACCCAAAACGGTGATCCTTGAGTAGAAGTAATTCAAAGATTATCAAATGAGACAACTACGATTAGGAAAATAGGATTTTATGTTTCTTTTATTTTGTTCTTCAATAAGAAAATTCTAGAGTCTTAGGTTTTGTACAAATCAAGAAATAATTTCGTAAATGAAAGTTACCATTGGCTCAAAAACTGAATAACCTTCGCATAATTATATAAAACATCCAAAAGCTGGTTTTTTTTTTTCATGCCTTTGATATTTGCTTTCCAAATGAAAATAGTTTTTGTTATAATTTGCTCATCAACCTTTATCTAGAAAGTAATTAATCTAAAGCCAAGTTTGTAAGTACCATCATTGATGTATTATCAACATCAATGGTAAAATCTCTTTGATTCCTCGGACTTAAGTTGCAGCACTCTTTCTGCTGTTGTCAGAGAGGAAGAGTGTAGATCTCCATTTTTACTAAAATCCAAGTGTTTCTCTGAATACCAAACCCAATAAGGATAGAAAACATTGAAGTTACCAGTAGTGATGCTGCAACTAAAGCAGCTTAAAACATCATGATCTTTTGAACTAAAAAGTCAATATAGGGCAATATCTAATTGTGCTATTATTGAACCAATTGACAAAGTAATGATTAATTCAAGTGATCAAATATTAAAAGATTTTCCTTACTGGTACCTTTATGGTTCTTGATCACTTCAATGTGATCACCACCGATGGTGGCAAGCTTTCACAATATCTTCGTCTTTTGACTTATTTGGTGTTATTGTGTCAACTGTCAAGTTTCTTATTATCAAAAGAAGACAATTGGATTTGCTTTTCCTGATCCTAATTTTAAAGAAAGTAAAAGAAATATGGAGTCCTTATGGACATTTACTTTCTTGGTTGCATGCATACAAATGATCTTTGGCATTCATAGACTGTGACTTCTATTGGCAATTGACAAAATTATGGAAGAAGAATTATTTGTATTTGAACTCTCTTTTTGCAATCCTAGATTGTAACCTCCTGTGAACAATTATATCCCTCCCAAAGCCGTCAACTTTGGTCACGAAGACTTAACTAAACCCTATGTTTGGTATATCCAAGTAGAGCAATGACAAAAAATGACCTCAAGTTTGCTTGATTCAAAAGTGGTACATAATTTTATCAAAAACCATAATTTACAAAAAATGGAATCATCTTTTGTAGTGAACACTCAGAATGGTTAGTTTTCTAAAGCCACAATGCACCACATTTCAAGCAAGAAGATTTGACTCTGAAAACCTTTAGATGAATATGAAGTTTATATGTGGATAATGAGGATCTACTATGAGTCATAAATTAGCCTACAATAGAGAAAACAAAGATTAAACTCACATAGGCACCATCTGTGCAATTATATAGAGTATGATATAGTATCTGCCAGGCATCTTGTAGTGTTGGAACAGACCTTCCATATCTCCTTGTTGCATATAAGTCAACCCAGATCTGAAAAGAAAATGATAAAAGAAAAGCCAAAACATTTCTTGATGGGTCTGATCTAAATTTTGAAATAATCAGTCAGTAAATCAAGCTTTCATATGTTTATCACTTAACAATGTATATAATGAATTCTACATCATTAAAATTCCACCAAATTTACTTCTCAACTAAAATTGTTCATTGACAAAGAACAAAAGAGAATGTTAGTTGTAGGAAATTTAGGCAACAATCAAACTAGATGATCTAATTATTTCTACCAAATAAATCTGCTAAAAGTGAAATATGGATCTTTTTTCACATTGTGATTCTTCCTCATTAAGCTTCTAGTTCCATTATTCTTTTTCCACAAGTAAAAATAGGCATGCTTTTAACTATTATCAGATTCTGAAATCCAATTACTAAACTGTCCTGAATTGATGGAACAAACTATTTTGCTGAGTTTGCATGATGACTAAGAAACTATATCTTGCTACATAATTGGAAGAATGGCAATAAGCGGATTATATATCCTAGAACAGAAAGAAAATGCTACATTTTGTTCTACCAAAAAATGACCACCTAAGCTCCTCAATATTAAAAATGATGCATAAAAACCCAGAAATAGGTCAAGTACCTTGCCAGCTGGACATATTTAAATGTATCCGACCTAACAAAGGTTAAATGAAGGATCAAAAAGAAAGTAGGCAAAGTGAAGAAGTGAAAACCCATAAACAGATACGCAAATCACATTTGTACAATCAAAACACATGCACAAAGAAAAGAAACATGCTCCATCTGAGATCACATTTGGCCAAAATCTTGTTCACAAGGCAAGGTTTAATCTACAGCTAATGCAATTTGACCTACAATAAATAAATCAAAATTAAATTCCTATTTGCCCAATACAACAAAAATGCATTTAACTTGATATTGTCCTTCACAAAGTTCCAAATTTTAATTAAATTTCTTTTCTAGTGATACTATTCTAGTTTATAGATTACTAGACTTAATCTGCCATTGAAGCAGGAACTACTTAACTGTTGAACCGAAAAAAGAATCTTAAATTATATATGTACCTGTTTGGGAAAACTATTTGAACTTATTCTATGTAACTAACCTATAGGATATCTTCAATTTATACATTACACCATATAGGAGGCGAGAAAGGAAAATTATAGCTTAAAACATGTGGGTGGTATTCAATAAGGTAAAGAGATGGGTACACAAAAGTAAATATTACCTTGACATCTACTGGTTTATGATGAAATGCCATTTCAGACATCAGATCATAAACAACAGGATTTTGCTCAATGCCTTCCATAGACATTCCAACGCCAACCTTTAGACCAGCGAAATATTAGACAAACATAAAACATACCAATGATATTCCTCAAGGATATATATGGATTAAGAGATAATATTAATATATAGCTCCTTCTAAATTCCATAACTTATAACAGAAATCACAACAAATTTTGCTACAACTTTTACTTGTTGAAAGAGACAGGGAACATTTTTTTAGCTAAAACAAACTTTATTTTATCCAAGTAGTCAAACTCATATCCTTTGATGCTCACAAAAAGGCTTCAGCACCGAAAAATATATTTTTTGACTAATAAAGATATGTTTGAGAAAAAGATTGACACTACCAGTTTATAAGAGTTCCTTTAACAGATAGCACAGATTTTGTTCGTGCTTCACCAATCATTTTCATAGTGAAAACATGAGATGTGATTCACTACAGATTTTACAAAATTAAAATTGTGAACACTGTCATAAAATGGTGTTTATATATTCAAACATTTCCCAGTAATTTTCTAGAGATGCAAGAAATAATATAATAAACTATATAAATAAATTATGGCTACCACACCTAGATTAAGGAATAATTTTAACTCACTAGTGAACTAAAATAACAAATTACAACAATCCTATATCACTGGTCAGAAGCACAACACTAACCACTGTAATGGCATGTTTTAAGCTGTTGAACCTTGATAACATTTGGCATAATCAGCAAATTCACAATGTGGAACTAGCCCAAATAATAGTTAGAAAGGAAAAAAAATGTAGGTAACGGTCGAAATCAACCGTTACCGTGCTATGTCGAGCGGTAACTGTGCTGGGCGATAATGATCGAAATTTCAATTGTTACTATTCGATATGCCCCTGTATCATTCGATACGGGTCGATATTGAGTGTTCCGCCCGATAGCGAGCAGTCCATGTACCGGTATGCTGTTAGACCGGTACGTATCGCCCGTACCAGACAGTATTATTTGAAATTAAAAACCCTGGGACTAGGTACCATGTATCACAAAATAAGCTGCACATAATAAATTATATTTTAAGTACCACAAAAGGGCAACTAACCATGGTTGAATTTTCACTTGTACAAGCTTCAATAGGTCCAAGTGCAATTGCATCGAGAATACCATACATCTCAATATTTCCAGCAAAATTGTGTAGCATGCACCTGCAGAAAATTAATATAAGTTGCTGCTGATCAAGATTATGGAAAAAAGGAATCTTTACATATTGCTACAAGAAAATTAACGAAAACCAACATTTTGAGAAACAGAGAACTTTCCAGATGTATGGAACACCATAAAACTGTTTTGATTTAACCCATATTGGTTTTACTTCAGCGAATAGATCAAGAACTACCATCCGCCCAATTGGAACTGAATGCAAGAGAGCCTAACAATAAAAGAAAAGTTAAATTGCAGGTTCTGAACCAAATTGTGGCAACAATTTGTAAGTTTAACATCTTATGATGGTATAAGCCTAACAAT